TGGTTTAATAAATTGGTTATTAGTAATAAAAATCATTTACATTTTTTACATAAAAGATGTAATAAAACCGATTTTTTTTTCTTAATAAAAATACACCGAAGTTTTTTATTTGAAACCGTTATTTCGAATATTTTACAGAGAAATTAATCATTATAAATTAAATTTTACTGTTGGTGCATTATAATTTTATTTAAAATATAACAAATAAAACACAGTTATCAAATTGACAATGTAATAAGACAGCCGGATTTCAACTAATTTGCATCGAGTTTTATTTACAAATTCTACAAATGTTATCATTTAATTTGAGTTTGAAAAACACTATGTTCTCTTTTTATCGCAATACCAAAATATTTTTAAAATATTTTATCTGAGTCTATATTAATTCGATGTGAACGTTTTATAGTTTAGTAATAATTATCAAGTTATATATTTAAAATGTCAACAAAACTGTTATAATTCCTTAAAGGATATAAATTTATATATTTTTAATATGATTTGATCAAGTTATATATTTGTTTGTTATTTGATTTAGATTATTTTTATCTTGAATGTTGTGTGTTGTACAATGTTAATAAAAAAAATAGGACTTTAGAGTTATGTCAAGAAAAATTAAGCAATATAAATTTTAAATTTCATTTTTTTTAATGGTAAATTAATAAAAAAAACTAGTGGAGTGCATGGCATCGTGCATTAAGGCAAATTGCTAGAACTTTCCGTACCGTAATTAAAGAGTTTGTACGAAACCCCAAAAAAATTACACTAATTGTGTACACATAATTAAAATCTCTATGAATTATCTGATAATTTGATGTGCATATGTCCAATAAACATTTGTGATTGCCAAATGATATTTTTTTAATTTATTTCTATTGAGAGTCCATAACCGCTAGACCTGCCTTCCCAAAAATTTAATCAGTTCTTCATCTTGTCAATTCAAGTAAAATGTTTTTTGAATTATTAAAATCGGACGCTCCGTTCTCTTAAAAACTGTGTTACCGTTTTTGACACTTTTTGTCTCATATCTTTGGAACGGCTAATTATCAATTCGAATCAAATGTTTTTCGAATTATTCAAATCGGTTGATCGGTGTTCCCGAAATCGTCGACGAAAATTTGTATCCGCACACACACACACACACACATACATCAATTTTTTCTAAGGTATGCCAAAATATATAAACAATTTTTTACGATTATGCATGTATATGAAACTTAAAATTATCGGTGTGATATAATTAAAATTGTTTTAATAAATTTTTAAGAGTTTGGTATTTTAAAAGTAAATACTAGGATTTGTCGGTTTCCAAAAACCGGTTTCGAAAATCGGTTTTCAAGGAGAAAATTATGAAATTTACATTTACAATTTACGTCAAAACTAAAAATAAATTGAAAATGGCAAATGTGTCCAAATGTACCAGATTCATGAAAACACTGTTGTAAATAGATAACCGTTCTTTGTTACAGTATTTTAAAAATATTTTCACCTATATATGTAAAAATTATGCATAATGAATAAATTATTCAATCTAGATCAACATGAGTAAATTCTACTAAATTCCATAAAAAAAGGTTATCAATAAAATTGACTAGTAAGAAATTTCAGTCAAAAACTGCTCTCAAAATTTCCTGCTAAATTTTTTTGTTCAAATTATTCGAACAAATAGCTTTTCTAAGAAAACTCGAAACCGATTAAAACCGATTCTCAGAGAAAAATACTATTTGAAAACCGGTTTTCCAATGTCGGTTTTTGTATAAACCCTAGTAAATGCTAATATAATTGGGGTACACAGGAAAACACAAGATTTGTGAAATTAAATTTATTTTAGTTTTATTTATTTTATCCGACTGTTTTTCAAAATTTTATATATTGATTTTAATTTTTTTTACTTACAGATAACTTACAATCAGTCTATAAATAAACATTAAGTAATTGGTTTGAGAATTAACAGTGGCTTTTTTAAAGAAAAACCCAATGGTTTACTTTTTATTTTTTTCTACCTCCTAATCTAATTTCTATCTTATTTTACAATAAATGAAAAAAACTATGATATATTCATGCAATTATAAACACAAGTATACTAGAAATACACAACGAACTATTCGAATAAATAGCTTTTCTAGGAAAATTCGAAACCGATTAAAACCGATCCTCAGGGGAAAATACTATTCGAAAACCGGTTTTCTAATGTCGGTCTAGTAAATGCTAAGATAATTGGGGTACACAGAAAAACATAAGATTTGTGAAATTAAATTTAATTTTATTTATTTAATTTGGCATATTTAATTTATTATATCAAACAAATAAATAATAATTTTATGAACCATTTATAAATGTGTCTTGACATTTGTTGAAACAAGTGTTAATCTAGCGAATGTGTGTATATTTAAGTAAACATGGGACAAGAGTTCTGATTAAAAATGTTAGAAAATCAGTTATTGTAACAAAAAGTAACAATACTTATATGAAACGTTATAATGCTAATAATAGTGGATAAAACTATCTTACCTTTTTTTGAGATTTTTATTTCCATATTTATTATTACTCCTACATGTCAGCTATACATATTTTGTTAACTGTCTGAACTAAATGTTCATTTATACAGAAAATTCCCACAATTGTACACAACATAAACAAGAGATTTGTAAAAATTGTTCTTGCATCAAACTAACCGAATAACAGCAGGTATCAAATGGCACATTTCTTTAAGTGAAACTGAAAACACGGAAACGAGCGACGTCCGTTGTCCGATGATGGTCCGATGTACATTACCAATAACAGCCTATTCCATACTGATTGCCACTTTCGAAGTATTGCTCTTTAATACACCTATTTTACCGCTCATGTTTAGTTATTATCGGTCGTATGTGATATCAGCACGTGGTTATTATCTCACAATTCACCAGATGATTTTGTCTGTACAATTCTTATCCTGTACAAAATGTTTATATTTATTTTCGTCAAATCATCATATCATATTTATATAATCACCAATGGATAATATCCTAATCTAGCAAATTGTTTAATGGAACAATTTCTATATTTTTTAGAGTAATCATCAAAATATGTTAGTTAAGTTAATTTAATTTTTTTTTGTAGTATTATTATATTATTTTATTATTTACTATTATTATATATTATTATTATTATTAGTTACTATTCTTATGTTATTATCTTTATTTATTCTTATTTAGTTTATTCTTTTTAATTATATATAAGCAATGCAGCTCATAGAATATAAGTACTGTTCTGATTGCTGTAAAATAATAAATGAACAAATATATATTTATATGTTCGACATCATAGATAGTCTCAATTTCAATTATCAGTGACAACTTTCCAAAATTTTGTCCTGACTGCCATTATCAAAGCAAATGTTCACGCTCAAGAGTTTCGATTTGAAATTTTAGCAACAAGTATTCATACTACAATAAAATATTTTCACTGATATTAATTATTTTTACATAAATTTATTTATATATTAATTATAATTAAAAACTGATACGTTCATGTTTAAAATATATATAACAATATTTTCTGTATACTTCTGCCAACAACGTCCATACAGTCCCTAAATTTCGTTTCGAATAATTTCCATATTTCTTTAAAACTCAAATATATATTAAAATGAATTGATATGAAATGATAAATATATATGAAAATAAATTGAATAACAATGAGATATTACACAAGATATTTACCTTAATTCAAATTACATTGTTTTATATACTTGTCAAAATTCGTAATGTTGCCACTATCAACCCTTTAAAAAAGGACCAAAACTAAAAAAAGTATTCTTTATTTAAAGAAATTATAGTAAATCGATCACTGATATCATTAATATTATTAATTTGAATTAATACTCACAAGGCATTAATACTGTCACTGTCGATCTGTATTTTATAAATAATATAAAAGATCAATTTCATAAAAGTAAAGTTATGTATGTACAAATATATTATATTTTATGATATCTATATAGTGTTTATATAAATAAATAAATTTATTCTTAATTGTTAAGATCCCGTAGGGCAAGTTATTGTAATCGCAACAAATCGAAAATGAAAATTTTTATATATCTTTACGTTTCAGAGGTTTCTGAACATTTTGGCATACCTTAGAAAAAATGGATGTATGTGTGTATGTGTGCGGATACAAATTTTCGTCGACGATTTCGAGAACACGGTTCAACCGATTTCAATTATTCAAAAAACATTCGATTCCTATTAATAAGGGGATGTGCTGATTAGTTTTTGGCGCAGGTAAGTCTAGCCGTTTCGAAGATACGGGGCAAAACGTGCGAAGAACGGTAATTGACAAGATGAAGAACTGATTATATTATTGGGAAGGCAGGTCTAGCGGTTTCAGAGATCTAGTAAAAAAAGCAAAAAAAAAATGCCATTTTGAGGTCAAAAATGATCAGTAGACATATGCACATCAAATTATCAGATATTTTATGCAGATTTTAATAATGTGTATCAATTTTGTTTACATTTCTATGGGTTTAGTAACATCGTTTGTGCGTTAGACAGCGACGCGGCGCTTACGCGCTTCTATTTGCATCTCTATGCAGTTAAACAGTTCGATTGCTTTGAAAAAAAGTTGAAAATTTCCAAAATATAACTAAAAAAAACATTTTTTCCAAAAAAATCATTTTTTTTCAAAAATTTAAAATTTTCTCGAAAATCTAATTTTTTCAAAGCTTAAAACATATTTAATCTTTTTTTAAAAAAATTAATTTTTGATACGGAAAATTTCATCAACTTATCTTAAGGCACGATGCCATACACCACTAGTTAATAATTATTTCAGTTTATCAATTACGATTTTCAATTTTGGCACAATCTTTCAATGAAGAAACATATTGAGAATCTCTGTACGGAACGCCCTCTCTGTGTATCATGCATAGTAAGATGCAGAGTTGTAATTGTGCTGTGGCTTCCATCATAGTTTCTTTATAAATAATAGAAAAATATGTGTTTATTTCATTAAATTCTTAAATGACTATAGGAAAAACAACAATGGGGTAATATTCGAGTGCTATTCACAACTCTATATATTCAGAGAATTTGTTTTTCTCTATGATTTGTGACAGTTTTCTCTACTTTTGTAAAAATTGATTTGTTTGTTTCAAGTTTAATATTTTTTATCAAAATTATTCATATTCAAAATTATGGCTTATATGATGACGGTTTTTTTGTAATTCGCTTTATTCTTCATTATGAAATATTATATCATAGATAAAAATTTGCATATGATTTATACAATTTTTTTTGGCAATTATGTTTTACTTTAAAATTAAAAAAGATTTTTTCCATAGTGAGCAGCCTATATTCACGTGCAAAGCGCACGTTTTTCATATAGACCCCAAAACTAAGAGATCTTGGATGTCTGCTTCTAGTACTGCAGTGTCGGTTTCATTTTTTTATGATTCATCAAGATCTTTATATCGTATAATAAGTGTGGAAGGAACAAAGGTATGCAACAGTTTGTTTGCAATTATATGAATAAAAATAATGGTTTTATTCATTTCATTACCAATTTTCAGGCAGTTATCAACTCCACAATAACTCCCAACATGACATTTACTAAAACATCACAAAAATTTGGACAATGGTCAGATGTAAGAGCCAATACTGTTTATGGCTTGGGATTTGCTTCAGAAGCAGAGCTTGGCAAGGTAAATTTGTATAATTCATTTATATAAAAATATTGTTGGGAAATTATAGCTCTAATTTCATCATTTAAGTTCATTGAGAAGTTTCAAGAAGTAAAAGAAGCGACCAGGCAAGTAATGGTAAAGGTATCCACAAATGGTAGCTCAGCTGTAACACCCGTTACAAGTGCTAATGCTAGCCCTGTAAGTGCAAGAGCGGCATTGGGCAGTTCCACAGAACAACAAGGTGATAATGTGATTGATCCACCCCCGAATAGTAGCATGATGTCTCCTGCTCCTCCAGCTGCAAAAGAGGATAAACACCATGTTTCTGAAGATAATACATTATCACATCAAAGGAGCCATTCTGTATCTGGAGCTCAGGTATTCTTATTGTTTTTACCAAAAATTAAACCAAATAACTGATTAGATTTAAATCTTCAATATACTATACTTTTAACAGCAGAATGATAGTCCAAATCATAAATCCAATGACAAACAAGGACACCAAACTGAATCTCAATTAAAATATGAGAATGATAGATTGAAATTGGCACTAGCGCAAAGGTAAATGATCTGTTTTTATATAAATATAATTGTGTTATATATGTGGTAATTTCATACAATAATTTCATAGTTCTGCAAATGCTAAAAAGTGGGAAATAGAATTAGCAACATTGAAAAATAATAATGTGCGGCTTACATCAGCGTTGCAAGAATCAACAGCTAATGTGGATGAATGGAAAAGGCAGCTACAACTGTATAAAGAAGAAAATCATAGAATTAAAATGAAATATCAACAAGACCTTGAAAATTCTAAAGGTAATGTATGAATATATATTTATGTATAGTTATGTAAATAAAGCTAAATCATAACAAATAATTGAAATTTTCAGGTGGTGGTGATTTAGCTGATGAATTGCGTAGAGAAATCACATCACTACGACATCGTGTGGAAACATTGGAAAGTGAACTGCAGGCAAAAAATGAAGAAATAAAGCAATTGCAATCAACTCCAAAAGTTTCTGAACAACAGGTTGAATACATTTTTCTTAACAATAGTTATTAAAATTAAAATATTTTAATTTATTTTTTATTTCTTAGCTTGAAATGCAAAAACAAATAAGTGAACTGCAAGAGTCATGCAAAATGTCCCAGTTTCAAATGGAAATGGCATTAGCCGCGCATGACTCACAAAGGGAGGTGTTATTCACTTTGAACAATCAGCTCGCACAGAGGCTTCACGAACTTGCTATCATACATCGAGAAGTGTCAACTGCTTTGGAAACATGAAATTTGCCCTCAACTAGTAAAAAACTCTCTTCAAAAGAAGAAATTCAAAGTTCTTGTGCTGATATAGTAATGCCAAAATCTGAAGTTTTGGATTGTGAAGAGATGAAGGCAGAATTAGAAAGTCTTTTGCAAACAGGCTCCTTAAAAGAGATATTAGACAGAACTTCATCTGATTTATATCCAAGCGAGAACTTGAATAAAAAATTGGATGAGAATATTACCAAACCAAGTTTCAGAATTTTGCAAAAAAGTGATACTATTACTAAAAACTCCGATAAAAATTTACCCATCCTCCTAATGGCTAAATCTGTTAAGAGTACACAAAATGCTAGTGCCAATATTTAGAAATGAATGAAGTATTTAAGGCCGATATCTAATTAGTGCAGAATAAAATTTATTAAAAACATCACTTCTGAATTGGAATGCTCAGTATTACAAATAAATTATTCTATTTTCTTCAGGAGATTTACATTTTTGATAAATTGAGTTCAATGTTTATAGAAATTTATAAGAATAGTTATTCAATTTAGTTATATTTTTTAAAATATAATTATATTAATGTCACATAAAAACTTTAAAGTAGAATGAATTTTAATTGGGAATATAAGTTAATAATTTCGAAGTCTTCGTTTCGGGCGCGCCATTCTCTCGATTATTATCATATACACTAGTCAAAAATAACTTTTCGATTGGAATTCAATTAATTTAATATCTAATTATAAGTAAAGAACGATATAGTTTTATTGACTAGAAAAGTAGCAATCAATAAGACTTTGGTATTTATGAATTTGATTAATTTTATATTTTAGAAAAAAAATATATATAAGTATTTATAGCTGTAGCTAAATTATTTTGAGACGATATTTAATTTGACAAATATGTGGATAAAATGAAATTGTGAATATCGGGTACTTGTTCTAACTTTATGTGCTATTATAGTTAGAATTATATGTTATGCATGATATTAAGAGGATGTTTTTCCGAATCTAGTGTAAATATACAATGCAATCTTCCATATCAAAGGCAGCACTAGTTGAAGCATGCATTTTAAACTGTAATATATAACCAATCAATGGCTTGGTTATATATTACAGATTTCGTTATATATTGGCTTTATTTTAAGATCCTTGAAACTAATTACCTCAGTTGCTATATTCTATCTGAATGTTGAAAATGATAAAATGTTCTGCCAAAATATATACAATAGTAAGAAAAATCTTGAAAGTTAATTAGACTTCTTTATATAAGTTACTGGATTATGTAACAAACTTTAAAATTAATTCATTGTAATGAAAATGAATTCACAAGAATCATTATATTGCTATTAAAATAACCACACTCCAATGCCAAATTATGTTTTCCGGGAGAAAAAATAGGACTCTTATTTATTTTATATATGGCTTAGTCTGGTAATCTAGGTATACAATAGGACCTAATCCAGTAGCTTACTTAGTACAAAAGATAAATGATTTATTTAAGAATCTTTGATCATTACAAAATTTGAGTTTTTTAACACAAATTTATATTATCTTATTAAAGTTTAAGTAATGAAACTAAAAATAACCAACTCAGCATAGCTTTATATAGATGATAGCAATAACGAGTACTTCAAAATTGAGTATATGTTAAACTAATCAAATTAATGAAAGGAAAATCAATTTTTGACAAATTACTTGAATGCTCTTGTTAGATTATAAAACTTAAAGTACATGGAAAACTGGTAAATGATAAATTACATTGTTAAACAAAAGAACGAATTTTTTTTTAATAAAACGCGGTATTTCATTTATTTTTGTTTTTTAAAATATATACTATTGGGAAAAAGACTAAATGCAGATTTAGTTCAAATTCACTAAGGCGATCAAATATTATTATGTGTATTAAGTAATTGCTAATCTATTCCGCTTTGTAAAATGAATGTGGTAAAAATGTGTCATGTTAGTTATTGTAAACAATTTTTTTATTCTACTTTTATGTAAATTATTGAATCTCACATGATTCTCAAATATGTAAGCCAATAAGTTAAATAACATTGACGTAAAATATTTATATGAAACATAGAATTGTAGTAAACATTAATTGTTAACTATTATTATATTGTAAGATATATGAAATGTAAATCATATAGCTACATTAGAAAATAAATATGCTACTGTTTTAAGTACATTCAAATATTTGTTTTAATTTAAAATAAATAAATTATCTACTTATTTTAATAAAAAGAATTTATTTTAGAATTATAATATTATTGGACTTACATTGAAATATCTGTATTATTTTCCACATTGTGTGTCACAATTTTATTCCAAAACTATTCTTCTTGTTCAAGCGCTAGCTTTCCTGATATAATTTCACTTAACTCTCTTGTAATAGTAGCTTGTCTTGTTCTGAAATAATATAATGTCACTGTTAATGAGAATCGATTCCATTATTACTATCTCAATTGTTTTGTATGTTCTAATACCTGTTATATAGAAGTTTTAGTTTTGAGATTGCGTCCGCTGCGCTTTTTGATGAACCATCCATTGCCATCATTCGAGAACATTGAACTGAGGTATAATTCTCAATAAGTACACCATACAATTGCATGGCGAGCAAGAATTCCGAAAAACATCTCAACTCTTCATCTGAAATATCTTGATATATATTACGCATGGCACTTGCCTAAAAGTAATATGCAATCATAACACTGATAATAGAGAAGATAGTCAAAATATACGAACAATAAGTTAAAGATTAAACTTAGGAAATTATTTCACCTTTAATACTTCGAAATTGGCAATGGGAATAGATGAAGGTCTTATTTGCATTTTAGCAATATATTGTTAAAACCAATTCTTCCAGTTTCATAATTGTAGTCGCTTCTTATGAGTTGATCCACAACCTTGGCCGCGTCCTGGAAAATAGGCTGCGTTGTTCCAGCCTGAAAAACAGATAATGTAATATGTTACAAAAGTAACTAATATTAAGGGACGACAAATTGTATCCAAACAAACATAAATAAATCCATTTTTTCTAAAGATTTTATTTTTGATTTTTTTGCGATTGCTATAGGTAAGTCGATTATTTACACATATCGGGAAGTTCATATAACTTGCAGCAAGGCAAAATGCCAATATCAACTGCCCGCATCTTTGGAACGGCTAAACCTGCCTTTGCCAAAAACTAATCAGCACGTCTCTTTATCAATACGGATCTAATGTTTTTTGAATTATTCAAATCGGTTGATCCGTGTTCCCGAAATCATGGACGAAAACACACACGCACACACATACATCCTTTTTTTCTAAGGTATATACCAAAATGTTCAAAAATCTTTGAAACATAAAGTTATATAAAAATTTTCATTTTCGTTTTTTTGCGATTACTATAACTTGCCCTACGGGAAGTTAATAAGGTTATTACATTACTATTGCAATAAAAATCTGGTCAAACTCTATTGTTAAGTTAAATTTAGTCATAATATATAAATAGGTATATTACCTCTGTAGCAACAAATAAATAATGATCGCTGAACAGCATGCTCATCAAGTTTCTTCCCTTTACTCCATAACAAACAATTTTATAACTGGTTTTGGTTACTTTCAATTCATCCCGTAATTTACGGAATAAGCCAGAATGGGCGGGCCCACATAAGCCTGGTTTAGAAACATGGAATTGGATTGTATAAATAAATGTTCACAAAGTAGAATTTTCATTTGAATGCTTACTAACACATAATAAGTGTATAGTACCAAAAGTTTATCAGTAATCAACTAAAGTTTTACAGTAACAAAAGCAATATTATTCATAATGAAATACCTCGATCACTTGTAATGTATATGATAAGTTGATTTGGAAGATTTGTATCCAATTTGATTTTAGTTTTATCAAAAAAAGATCTTGACGCATCCATCAAACCTTTCATTTTCTGAAAAACAACTTCTGCTCGAGCAAATCTACATTGAAATTTTAAATGTTAATGAAAATATTTCAATAGCTTTTAACAGACAATTGTTTCAAAGGTAATGTAGATTGTGAAATCCAAAAATACATATCAGAGATAAAACAATATGTGTTACATATTTATTATTACATATACTCACATAGTAATTTCAAAATTTGATACCAAAAAAGCAATATTTCGGTAAAATCAAACTGAACATGAGATCATTTTCATGTAATAGACTCGAAATTTAAAATCACAAAATCTTACTTTGATGCAGCTACCATTTTCATGGATTGAGTGATTTTTCTTGTACTCTCCAAGGACTTGATTCTCAAATGTATAGTTTTCATTGTTGCCGCATATCTAACTTGAGGTATAAAATTGGGAACATAGGATAATTTTCGGACGAGAACAGGATTCTGCAGGAAAAGGAAAATCCAAATATTAGTTACTCTAATACCATTTTTAATGTTATTTTTACACTGAGTTTATTTTATCAAGTTGATTTCATATAATCCACAATTTCAAAATATACAAATAATAAGAAATTTTTGTAAAATAATATTTTGTTTATTTTTATATTGGTACAAGAATCAAAATAAAAATAAACAAAGTATTAAAGATATTGTAATAAATTGAGCTACTTAGATGAAGCCACATATTAAAATATTTGTATGAAATTTAATCCAAAGCAGCAGCTCCAGAAATAATTTCAATAAGTTCTCTGGTGATGACAGCCTGTCTAGTTCTGTTGAATGTTAATGTCAATTTGTCAATCATTTCTCCTGCATTCTTGCTAGCATTGTCCATAGCAGTCATACGGGATGACTGCTCCGAGCAAGCTCCTTCCTTCATTGTGTAGAATAATAATGAAGCCATTGAAAATTCCAAGTAGCTTTGGATGACATCAGCATCTAAGGAATCGTATACACCCAATTTTGGGGCAGACTAAAATAAAAAATATTGCTTAAAGAATGATATTGAATAAAATTAAACTCATTTTAAATCCATTGCATACATACATCGAACCCATTCTCATTCATGCACCATAATTTCAACCTTGATCAAAGCCAAACAACATAAGCCAACAAAGGCAAACAAAATTTTAAATTTTGTTTGATTACATTAATTAGAAGTATGAATAGAAACAATAACATCTAATATATCATATAAAAAATATATAATACACGCATTTTTAATATAAACTATTTTTTATAAAAAGAAAGAGTATATTACATAAAGATTAATAAGATGACAAATGTTTGAATTATGGTAACTAATCTTCTGAATAAATTGGATAATTAAAAACTTTATATAAATTTCTAATTTATTAAAGCAATCAAAGCACTAACCTCAACAGCTCCCAGGCTAAACAATGGTAATTCAGCAGAACTGTAGGAGACAACAGATTTAAATTTATTGTAAATTATTTTTCCGGATGCGAAATCATAACCTGAATTCAATACAGCATTTGTTAATTTAGCTGCATCTTGGAAAGTTGGTGGTTTACGTCCAACCTGAATAAAAAATCCCATATATTATATGAAGATTTAATAGATATATATTAAATACTCAGTTCCAAAAATCATGAGAAAATTGATTTATAAAATTATTATTTTATATTTGAATGATCTTACCTCATTGGCTACCATAAGAATATTTTTGGAGTACAATCTTTGTAAAATGGCTCTAGATTTGTCACCAACACAAACTACTTTAATGTTATCTTTAGTGGCAGCAAGTTCATTCCTGATCACACGAGCAACACCAGTATGTACAGCACCACAGAGACCTTCAAATTTAATGACAAATGAGCATTTATTTTTTTATGCAGTGAGTTTCAACTTTACCTCTATCACTGGTAATAGCAACATATAATTTGTCTGGCTTGTCTTCAGCTCCTGTTACTTCAGCTTTTTCATAGAATTGGGAAGCTCCTATACCAATTGGACGAGCTTGCTGTAATTCACGTTCAGCTCGAGAATATCTAATTTAAAATAATTAAATATAATCAACAAACCACAAAACTAATAGAAATAATATATAGTTTAGGTAACATACTTAGCAGCAGACACCATCTTCATGGATTGTGTAATTTTTTGGATATTCTTAACAGATTTCAATCGCATGGAAATAGTTTTCAGAGTTGCCATGCCCCTGTTTTGCTGGGTTGAAGGAACAGCGACGATTTGACTGCATATTGGGCTAAATGATCCATTCACGCGTGACAACATCCTTAATTCCTATCTGCAATTGGAAAACATTATCAGTAAGTGAATTCCGAGTGTAAAGTAAATAGCAAAATTCGGTATGCAATCTACTATAAAACTACACAAATAGGTTAGAATTTTTGAATGGATTTAAATTGAATAGTTATAAAAGAAACTCTCACTGCAACACTAATTAAGATATTCGTTTAATTACATATTTAAAGCTGCACTCAATATTTATATGAAAGTTACGTTGACTCTACTTATGAGCTCTTACATAATTCACACTTTTATATCAAAAACCGATAACTTGATTTTTGGCAAAAAAACAAAAACTAATTTATTCACATGAGTTCAGATTAATATATATGCAAAAAGTACAAACCTTATTCCTTCTAACAAGCTCGAAATATCAAATACGTCAAAAATGAGCCCTACCAGTAAATGATATTTTATTCCTTCATAGAACTAGTGTTGCCATGTGTACAGTTTTAGCTGTCGATCTACACATAGATAAATAAACATTGTAGATCTACAATTTTTTGGAAATGATCTCAGCATAGATAAATAAGTTCAGATCACAGATAAATGAGCTCAGTTTTGCAGTTAAGGTCTACAGTTTTTTTGTTGAAGATGCTAGCGCCGTTTCATTTTTAATTTATTTGCGCAAGTATATCAAAAATGTCAACTAAGAAACGTAAAAATATATAATTTTATTAATTTATATATTTACAGCATCAGAAGAGAATTCAAAGAGTTCAGAGGGCTAATTTAAATAGTTTCAAAAGTTAATAACTTCATAAATTTGAATTACGTATTCGATACAAAGTAAAACAAAAACGGGACATGTGCTGCCACACGCGGCTAACGAATGAACATGCCGGGATGAATGATTGCGCAATTAAAATAATCGTAAAGTGCTTATGTCTACTCGCTTGCACCAGGCCACCAGTCTGCCAAGCTACAGAATACATGTGCAAGTCACAGGTTGCGCAATTATGCAGT